TCTTTCCCTGAAGGAGTGCTCTGCTGCCTTGGCTTTGAGGAATAATGAGTAATTTAACCAGCCAGAGGTCTGTGTTTTAAAAATGGGAGTGCTTTTTAGTGCTAGAAGCTCCAGGAAGACATATTTGGGGAAAAGGAAATATATTGTCCTGGAATATAGGGTTTTAGTGGTTTTCGTTTACAGAATAATTATAGTATCAGAAATTGGAAAGATTTTTTTTTTAAATCAGGAGTTTAATCTGGAGTTTTCAACTAGTGAGTCACCTATGGAGTGTTACACAAATATTCAGGGAGGTCATGAAAATGTTATTATAGTCAAAAGCAAAAATTCCCTCTGTATCAAGCTCCCAGCATCTCTTTGCCCTCCCAGTGCTCTGTGAGCCCCTGCACAAATTATTTACATAGGTTTATCAGTGGTTTATTGTCACATTTTGTTATCCCTATAACAAATGTATAGGGTCATTAATTTTTTCATATTTGAACTAAGATTTGCCAGCTTTGAGGCAATGAGAAAAACTGATCTCATACAAAATTTTCCTTCTTGTACTGGCTTCTGAAATGCTCCTTGTGATGGTGCTTCTACCACTCATTGATATTTTCTCTCTCAGTCTGAAGAATCTCATTTTTTTTTTTTTTTTTTGCCCCTTTCTTGAATTCATCTCCTTACTCTTATTGAATATTAGTTTGAATGGTGCTATATTAAATAATTTTTGTTTGTAATATTCCTGTCCTCTGATTTGATGTTCTCTGCTTTTGTAATTTAAATTTTAAAAACATATTTTAAAATAACAACTTCTTATGCCTTGTATAAGTGAAATAGTATTTTTGTGGGTTTTTTTCCTTAGGAATTTGAACATTCAGATTGTGGGGGAACTTCTCGGACAGCACCAGTGCTGCCCCCCAGGTGAGAGAATGTCTAAATGACAATTTTAGGGGTCTGAGATTTGCTCAGTGTAAGTTATCATGATACAGTTCTGTTTTAGTTTTGAAGGTTAAGTGCATCTCCTTATATTATAGGAGTAACTGCAATGGGAGTGGTCTTGAGAACATTGTTTACCCTAGCAATTGGATGTAATGACTTATTGTTCCTGTTTTTATATCATCTGGCTCATGTTTAGTTTTTGAGCTCCTGTGACCTGTCCCTGCTGTTCCTTAGTTATGACCTAAGCAGGTAGAAATTCTGTCCGTTCTCCTTCTGCTTGAGTTGATCAAAGAGGTGCAAAGAATAATAATCCAGTGATCTGTCTGTTAGTCTGTCCTCATAAAAGAATAAACTGTTCTGTTTACATTTCGAGCGCTTCAAATGGGACTTCTGCTCTTGTTTCAGATGTAAAAGCTTAATTTTGGGGAGAGTCAGGCATGAGGAAGGAAAAGCTCAATGTGGGTGGAAAAATCGCTCTCACCTCTCTGGGTGTGCATGCACATATTTTACGCATGTACTTTCTTTAAAAGATATGTGTGTGTATGAATTGTAGAAGGTTGTAGAGCTATTAACATCTGTTAGAAGTGTTGGATTTCTGAGGCACTGGGTGAGGAGGTAAAGGACCAGGAAACCCTGGAAAAATAAGGAAAGCCTAGAAAGGATAGGAAAAAACAGGAAACAGTAAATACATTCAAAATAACAGGGAAAACTTTAACTTAATACAGTTTAACCTTTTAATAGGCTGCTTTTCAGAGTGGAAGATGTAAAATTGGAGCTCATACTCTAAGGACTAAGCACTAGGACACTCATAGCAAGTGCATTAATAAACTATTAGTCCTTTTCTCAAGTTGTTGACACTGAACATAGCAGGAATATACACCAAAAGACTACTAAGACTTTATTGCTGTCTTATTTTTATTGATCCTTCAAGAACTCACACTAGTAACTACCTGTTTGTTTTGAATGAATATCCTACTCTAGAGGAAACACACATAATAATACAGTGTTTTTAATAGTAGAGCAGAGATATCCACATATTAACCTGTCATTGTTTCCAGAAAAGTGGCATATGATTTCATTATCTAATAATGTCATCATTCAAAGTAATGACAGTGGAATCATAACTTTAGTTGGGGTCTGACAGGAGGTTTCAGATGTGTTAAATCCCAATAAATGACTCAGGCTGGATCAGCAAGACTGTCTAGGACTTCCAGTAAAGCTCCTCATCCAAAGAAGTTCAACCCAAGGTAGCTTCAAACAAGTCTTTAACTGAGCACAGCTTATCTGAAGCCCTGCACCAGTGGTTCTTACTAGTCTTTTTAGATTCAAGACACCCAGTAGAAAATGCCAGGTCTTGGTTTTCACTCTTTTTTTACTACAGAAAAATAATAGAGCAGTTTTTGTTGCAAAGAACTCAGGAAGTTCACAGCAGCACTCTTGAAAGGGTCTCAGGCTAACCTGAGAATCACTGTTCTACACAGTTATTAAGCTTTGGGGAAACCAGATGGTTGTCTGAAATCAGAACAGGTTAGCCACCTGGGAGCTCTAATGAGGATATTTCCTGTATTATTCAATCCCTCCAATCATAAGTAAGTTTCAAGTGCCTCCAGAGCACTTCAGATAATCCATATTCAATTATATTGTTTCTCATGTCTCAGTCAAATAGGTTTCCCTATTGAATGCTCTGTATCTGAAGCTGTCTCAAAGGTTAGGGGCAGAGGCTTATTTAAAATGTGTACTTTTTTGATGGTTCAACCCAATTTCTAGGCCTGTAGATGGAAAAATCATACCAACTCGACCTCCTCCACCTAAAGGTATTCCTGGAAGGCCACTTCCTCCAAAACTCTCTGGGACAAAGACCCCCGCTTCACAAAAAGACCCTTTTTGCCGATCCTCATCTGACATGATACACCCTAAAAAACCAGGAAAATTTGGATTGGGAATTAAAAGGTCAAAGAGTCAAGTCTTAAAGAGTCAAGATCCAGTATTACCTCCTCGACCTAAACCTGGACATCCTCTCTACAATAAATACATGGTGAGAACTGAGATAATTTACCCAACTTTTGTATGTAAATACAGTGGAATCCAAAACAAAGTATAGAGGAAGTTTATTATTTACCTGTAAAGTGTATCCGTCACTAAAAATGTACTGCTAACGTATTTTTTAAATACTTTTTTAAAACTGTGCCAAATAACTTATCTTTGGATAAGACACAGATTATCAGTGAACAGAAAATAGTCTTGAGTGTTTCTGATGGAAGTGCTTACCCAAGCAGGGATAGTACCCAGTATCCTAGCCACTTATGTTAGCTATACCTACAATTTTGAATTCAAAATCACTAAGAAAGGCGAACTAGTGATTTATGTATAATGCCTGATTTATAAGACTTTCTTCAGTAATATTCTGAGATATGCATTAATAATTTTAGACCTAGCATAATAATATAATGCCACACGTTATGCTTTACCTGTGTGTTTCAGAGTGCTTAACAAAGTTTGATAAGCATTATAATTCCCATTTTACTGATTCAGTAACAAGCTGTACCTAAATGAAGCAACTGAGTGAAATCCCTGGGGGCGCCACACATCTGGCCAACCCTCTTCCTGGAGAACACCCGCTAGCCTGGGGGTAGTGCTGCCACAACCCAGAATCTGGATTGATCCTGGACCTGTGCCCTCTGGGAAACACAGGCCTATTAATCCTTGAGGGTACTTGACCTACTACAAGAACTTGGGGTGCTTCCCTCAGTCTGAAGCACAAATAGTGGTCTCTCTTAGTCAGCTGAACCAAGAGGACCCCAAGGCATAATCTAGACCCTCTCCCAATAAGTCTCCCACGCTAGGTACAAAGGAGAACTTTACTGGTTACAAGGAATAGGTTTGGAATAGGGTAAAGTGTAGAGCAATATCAGAGAAATCCCTTAGAGCAAAGTGGCATGGTAGCCTTTGATTACGCATCTGTGTTACTGCAAGCTATATATCTAGTTAGATCTCAGGTAGCTTACTCATTAGTGTCATCCAGAGGCAGGTGGAGATTCCCTCTGGAGGCAGGCAGTTCATTGATCATGAGATTCAAGAGAGAGAGCAAGTTTCAGATGCTCCACCTTCTCTCTGAGTTTATCATGTTTACTGCCCCCGCTCCTGGGCAGTCCTTCACTTATATAGCCCTTATGACTTCATTTACCTGATCCAGCGAAGGCCAGCAACTGTTGGCTGCCAACCAACCAATTTGAAATGCATCACTGGTTGCTGGGTAGACTGGCAGGGTCTCTAGCCCCCTCCCAGTCAGGTTGGCATTGCTTAGAACAATAGGGAGCATACGCCCCTCACCCAGGTATGTGATGCCAGTCAGGTAGGCAGAGGAAGCAGGTTTCCCCCCTCCCGCAGGAATGTATCCAGCTCAAGTTACAACTCAGGGTTACCTGAAGAGATGGGGCAGAGGAGTCTGCCTTTTGCAGTGACCCTGGTAACCAAATTGTCAGAGATTTGTCAATTGCCAGATAGCAGAGTTTGGGGAGAGACAAAGATGGCATTCTGCCACAGTCCCATGGGCCAGATCCAGCCCATAGGCTGTATGTTTGACACACCTGCTCTAGTATGTGCGGTGATAGAGATTTCTATACACTTTACTCAACTGTTTAATGCTCAGCAAGAAAACTATTTAGGGATTAGTCACAACTTTTTAGACACAGAGGCATCACAGGGTGGGGTATGAGCAGCTATATTACTGAAGAGGAAATTCTGAGAACTGTACCTTGGGAATGTGCACTGACCTTTGCCATAGAGGGGAAAGGCTGTTGCTGCCCCCTTAGCATGGTTGTGCTGTTTTCTCCAAGGAATGGAAGCGTCACTCTAGACTGAGCGGGGACTGCAGTGAGATAAGGGAGAGGAGTCTTGGTTCCTAACTCTTTACAACCAGAGCTACTTTTGACGTGTGTTTGTGAGATTTTCAAAGCATAAATGTTAAGTCAGGGTTAAATTCTTGGTTACTTCAGTAGGCCATAGGCCTATATATCTGCTGTCTTTGTCTTTGAAAATCTTTTCTTAAATTGTTTATCCAGTGACCCAAGTAGAAAGAACAAAAGGGCAGGTGCTTTCCATATTACTGTGTATCACCCTATTAATAGTTTTTAATTTTGGTATTTAGTAGTAAAAGAAATCATTTGATTTGAATAATTTCCCTTGATTTCTATAGAAGCTGGCTGTGCCTCGTGCAATTGCCAAGGAGGATTTCATTCCCAGAAACCCTGGAGAACTCTCCTCTAAGGTAAAGCAATTTTTCCCTCCCTTTCTTTGCAGATATGCACTAAATCGTTAGTCACATATTATGTTAAACATCAAGTGCTTTAGGCTATAAAGGTTACACTCTGAACAATGTAATATCCATTTATTAAATCTCTTTGCTTCCAAAACAATATTGTTTTGGATGTACTTGTGCTGGTGGAACAGACCGACAGCAATTACTTTGAGTGCCAAAAGGGAAAGGAAACTGGTAAAGTTCACTTGTCTTATATGAAGATAATTACTCTCTTAGACTGAGCATCTGAAAAGCAGGCAAAAGGTAAGAATTTAATTGTGTAATGTACTGTGCATAACACATCAGCACAAGCAATTAAGACATTTTCAAGGGAAAGCTCTTACATTCAGGAATTATGCCTTCTTATATGTGCTTAGTGCTTTTGAGGACACAAATTTATAATGAATATTAGGAACTATCATTATTAGAAATAATGGTAACCTTGAGTTTTTAGCCTTACATAGATTTGATCAAAGTATTTCTCATTTATTGCATTTTTATACTGTATTTACTCAACTATAAGATAACCCTGAATATAAGATGACCCCCCAATAACTAGAATCTATATATGTAAAACTTATACATCTATACATTGTAATTCACATCCTTTAGCTTTGTTGCTATGTTCATGTTATGCATTTTTACAATTCGGCTAAACTATATTGAAACAAAACAATTATCTAACAGTTCTCATTGTCAGTCTTCCAACAGCCCAGCCGGGGCAACATATAATAAGTCAGCTTTTGTGATTTTATTTCCCCTATAAAGTAACCATTCTAGTATAATTTGTAGTATCATTTTCTTGTAAACAAAGGCTTGCTGAGGACACTCTGAGACTGAGCCCTGGGGGAGAATAAAACAACAGGTCCCTTCTCTCTGATGCACATAATGCTGCTACTTCCTCTGGGGCCACCTAAGTTATACTTGCCACATTATATCAAAGCACATAGCCATTTCAGTGAGCTGTTGAGGAGGCAACGCTTTTTACAACGTGTTTCTGAAATTTGGTGAAGGTAACCATTGTGGCTTAATCTGTGTACCTGTAGAGATGCAACTCTGATGGTTTCATCAAGCTATATATCTCCTTAAGTGCATTTGATGAGAGTCCCAGCTCTGTCTCTCTATGTCCCTCTGATCACAGTTCTCCTCATTTCCTCAGAAATATCCTGCAGATTTTAAGGGGTATAGGAAAGAGACCATTTGAACAATGTGGCAACAATTTCCAGATGATGAATTGTACTGCAAAAAATGTAAACTGCTAATGCAGTCAGGAACTCTTCCCCCACCCCCAGTACAACAGATACTCCAGAAATGAGATATGCATTTTCTACTGGGGATGCATTGGCCAATTCTACTCTCACTTTTCTTGGCTAGTGTTGCTTCACTGATTTCAGTGACATTTCTTCTGATGTATATAATTTGAAGTCAGGCTCGTTTTTTCATAATGGTCACCTTTTAAACATTTGGCTTTCTACACCATGATGAAACTGTCTCCAAAACCAGGCTAACACATTTCAGAATTAATAATAGAATAATAGTCTATGTTAATATCTTTCACCAGTTTTCAATTGCTTGTGAGATGAGTTGTTATTTTTTTTTGTAAGGGTTCAAACAGTAGTCTGACAGTTTGTGACACGAATATTCCTCATGCCATAGTGCTCCATGATTTCCCTGCAGGTGAGTACAGAGAAATAATAAAAACCCACATGCAGTCGTTTTGGTGGGACTAATGTTTACATTTTTTTCAACTTCCCCTCTTCTTCCCCCCTCTTTTTTCTTCTTTGGTTTGGAAATGTTTTTAAACATATGAGGGTGAGTTTTACTTTTCAGAGGAATTTGAAACGAGATATAATAGCAGTGCCCAAGTTGCTAAAATTGGATCTGAACTTCCCCTGAATGCATGGGTATTGACATCCATTGTTTTAGCATGGGCTAAGTTTTTAGTTAAAGTTAACATGTCAAGCAAGCTGCATAACTATACAATTTCTGCTTACAGTATGTAGTTTAGTAAGAGTTTATTAAGAAACTCCCTGTATACAACAGCGACTAACTAAAATGATGCTGTCTTACAGAGCATGCTGACGATTTGGACCTGCATTCTGGAGACAGCATTTTTCTTCTGGAGAGAATTGATAAGGAGTGGTACAGAGGGAAATGTGGGAATCGCACAGGGATATTTCCTGCCAGCTTTGTTAAAGTGATTGTATGTTGGCTTTTTTCACTGAAATATAGTGAATTCCAATGTTTTTACACATTCCAGTCCTAATTTAACACCCTCTTCTGTGTATGTTATTCCACTTGGTATCCAGATAAATTTTGCTTCAGTAGCTCAGCAGAGGTATCGATTTGTTTGTGCGCTATTAGAAATCTGTTTAGTCTAGGTACTATGGATGCTATTTTCATGCTGATTTCAAGTCAAGTGAGAGAATCATGGCCATTATCAGAATCAGTTCTCTTTCACCTGGACACTCCCATGGGAGCTTCCCTGCTGTTACAGAGAAGATTATTTCTCATAGCTATTATAAAGCAGTGAGCCCTAACAGGTGTATATATTAAAATTGATTGAGTGTATTGGGTAGACTTCAAGGCTCCTGTGATATACACCCTGGCATAGCTTATTAGCACTGAAGTATGTTTTAAAACTTGTATGGTAGATAAACGGTTATGCTTTAGACAGTTTGGGGGAAAAATAAAGGATACATGTTACCAAAATATAGCCAAAAGAAAAATCAACTACACAGTAAAGTTTTTCTGTAATAATAAAAAAAAGTGCCAGGGAAGAATTTGTGAAACAATGCTTGCTTCCTTTCAGTCACCCTGTAGGCAGGACCACTGTTCAAGAAAGCCAGAAAATTTTAAATTCTGTTTTCAGCCCTGTCACTATTCCAGCATGTAAGTTTGGGCTGAAAACAGAATTTAAAATTTTCTGGCTTTCTTGAACAGTGGTCCTGCCTACAGGGTGATGTGGAAAATCCAGCTCAAAGCCAGCTCCACTTTAGGTGGAAAGGTAGCACCGACACAGCTAAAGTTTGGCACCTCAAATGGCATTTCAGGCCACTTATGTGCATTTTTACATATCTTTGCTGCTCAACTCGCTTTGTCCTTCAGTGCACACTGAGATCTATTTCAGTCATTTACACTGTGTTGCAATCATGTTCCATCCAGGAAGGCAAGTAACTGTGCAAGTCCCTGAAATAATACAGCTACCAATGGTTTGTGCGGAGGTAGCATTTTTCTGCAAGTTATGCAGCTTCTGTGGAAAGCAGAATCTAAAATCTGCATAAGTGCCTCAATGCTGTTTACCTGGCAAAAGATGGATTTGATTTGGGCCTTAAGGTGTGATTTTTTTTTAACTGGTTTAGTTAAAGCACTGTAAATGGCCATTTGAACCTAATGGGTCTCACCTACACAAGTGTAAAATGTTGTGTGGACATGTGCCTTTTGGTTTAGCTCATGTTTCTTTGAAATCAACCTAATCAAAACCAAAATAGCAGTGTTATTACAACCTTTTGCATCATATTAACTAATTCTTTTAAAATAATGCTTTAAGTTAAAAAATTGTATCTTGCTTTTGTATGTCATGAAGAATATGTTCCGCAATTCACCTTCTAAGCCCAGCTCCAATGTGCACCTGCTCCATAAGCTTCTGTTTACAGCTAGTGTTTGGAAATGCTCTAACCTCGACCTTATCCAGATAACCATCTTACCTGGACTGGCTCCCTGCAGAGGAAGAGCAACACAACAGCAGTAAACTGCAAGTAGGCTAACAGATCTCACACCACTATCCAAAGTTGAACTGGGCTCATGGCCCATCATTGAAGGAAGTGAAACTGCCCTAAATGGACATGTGAGGATTAACCTGAAACAGAAGGAAACCTAGAGTGGCATCATGAAGCAGGCAGCTAAATGGACCATTATAAATCTGTACAATTTATAGTCATCCTGAAGTACCCCAGGGAGGGAATGGAAAGGAGGCAGAAAGCATAGTTTTCTGAGCATCTGAAGATTCAGTCTGAATAGTGAAGCTCAGAAGAGCCTGAAAATTACAGCTACAGAAAAAAAAATGGGTGGATGTTTACCCATCACAAGAGCTTTATCATAGGTGCTCTGACTTAGTGGATTTTCATGACACGGTTTATTGGGTTTTGAGCACTATTACTGAATAAAAAGTAATTTAATGGCTTGGAATAGTGGGATGTTGCCTGGTGTACTCATGCACAGAATAAATGCTTAGATATTTTACTTAAATAGATGAGACACTTCAGCTTCTACATGCTTCCAAGGAAATCTTAATTAATATACAAGGTCTTTCTACTGATGGCTAATTTACAAAACAAAGCTGTATATGGAGTAGTCGAGTAAAACATGGGCTAAATTCAGCATTGGTACAAACAGGCACAGCTTCATCAAAACCAGTAGATCTGTATTTGGTTTATTTTATGAGAGAATACAGAAACTGTTAGAATTACTCTAGGATATAGTACCTAACTAATCCAGGGTAGATAACTAATCCAGGGTAAAGAAGCATGTCCTTGAGATACTCCAACTCAAAATTTCAAGGTTGTTTTTTTCTGTGATAATGTTTAATGTTGAGTTGTTTTATTTTTAAAAGTGAGGTACGTTGTAATACTAAAATTTTCTTCACTGTTTGGAAATTAAAACGACAAGCCAGTGAGGAAGAGAGTATTTTATAGAAAACCAAGAAACAGGATCAGTAATTTAGTCCAGATCAAAGGTCTGTTGTGTTTCGGTCTCATTACTGGATCTCAGCATGATTGGCCCTCCACTAGTAATACTTAGTATTACTGGAACTTAAAGTAATGAATTTGGGGTGAGGTGGGCACGCTAGTAGGGAGGGAAAGACTGCAGCAAGACCTGAATAGGTGGCAGGGGTGGGTTAATAAAAACAGGATGCGTTTCAATACGGACAAGTGCAGGGTGCTGCACTTGGGCAGTAGTAACCAGCAGCACACTAATAAGATGGGAAACTCCCTTCTTGAGAGCACGGAGGCAGAAAGGGATCTTGGAGTCATTATTGACTCCAAGATGAACATGGGCCGACAATGCGAGGTCACGGTCGGGAGGGCTAACCGGAACTTATCGTGCATCCACAGGTGCATCTTGAGTAGAGCCAAGGAGGTGATCCTCCCCTTCTATGTGACACTGGTCAGGCCACAGCTGGAGTACTGTGTCCAGTTCTGGGCACCCCACTTCAAGAGGGATGTGGACAACACTGAGAGGGTCCAGAGGAGGGCCACCTGCGTGATCCGGGGACAGCAGGGCAGACCCTACAATGAGAGGCTACGGGACCTGAACCTATTCAGCCTCCACAAGAGAAGGCTGAGGGGGGACCTGGTGACCATCTATAAACTCACTAGGGAAGACCAGAAGGGTTTGGTGGAGACCTTGTTTCCCCTAGTGCCCCCCAGGATAACAAGGAATAACGGCCACAAGTTGTTGGAGAGTAGGTTTAGATTAGACATCCATAAGAACTACTTCACAGTAAGGGCAGCTAGGATCTGGAACCAATTTCCAAGGGAAGTGGTGCTGGCTCCTACCCTGGGGGTCTTTAAGAAGAGGCTTGATGCCTACCTGGCTGGGGTCATTTGAGCCCAGTTTTCCTCCTGCCCAGGCAGGGGGTCGGACTTGAAGATCTACAAAGGTCCCTTCCAACCCTACTTCTATGATTCTATGAATTGTCATTATGCCCTTGTTGGGTGGGTATTTTCCCCAAGCATGGCCCAGTCCATTTTCCATGGGAGTCCAGTGAAAAGACTTGCATTAACTTTTATGGGAATTAGATCAGGTACATAAGGGGCATGTCTAGGCAAAGCATTTACTGTGCAGTTGCTTATTAACTGCATAGTAAACATCTCAGCATCTACACGTGCACTCCTATTAGGGCACACAAAACTAAAACTCTGTAGCAGGTTAGGACTTGTAGATATAAGTCCTAACCTGCTGCAGAGTTTTTTCATGTGCAGCAGCACACATGTAGATGCTGCCCCGGGGGGCTGGGGCACACGGTGCCTCAGCATGGGGCTAGCCAACAGGCAGCCCCACGCTGAATCACCCTCATGCCTCAGCCAGCCCCTCCATAGCACATGGAGCTCCGTTGGAGCAGCCCTGGGTTGGCATGCTGACCCCACTAAGTTCCCTGCCAGCCTGGGCTGGTCTGACCGGGCTCCATGTGCTATGCACAAAAAAACTATGGAGCAATATGCTCCAGTATGCCCAGGAGCAAAAAAAATCCAGAGTTTATTTGTGTGCATTCATTGCATGTGTAGAAACACCCAGTGAGTAGTAGCAGAGCTAGAGCCACAACTGAATTCTCTAAACCACAAAATGTATGCATAATCCCCACAGCAATATCATGACAAAAACATAGTTGCAGTGAATCGCATACGATGCAACATCATAAGCTAGTTATGATTATATTTTTTTTTTAATTCAAACAAAAACATTTACGTAGGTTCTCCATGGCTGACGCATCACATACAGCAACAAATTGGCTAAAAGACATTTTTCATACCTAATCTTTCTTTATATTCTGGCTTTGCATGTGCAATTTGAGACTGAAGTACAATTTGAGATTTATTTGTTTGTTTGGATACAGATGGCAAAATCTGGATTATCAGAGCCCAGATAGGATATGTCTAAACAATAATCTTTTCTATTGTGAATTGTGCTAGCAGATAATAGCCTACAATATCAGTTATGAGTCTGGAGCCAAAGGCAACAGCATGCAATAGAATCCAGGCCCATTTTCTGTCAGTCAAGCATACAACAAAGAAAACTTGCTATTACAACAGGCTGTTAGTAATCTAAAATATGAAATGTGGCTGTTTGTTTCCATGACACTGAATAGCAATGATGATGGGTCATTGGCATCACAGAATCAAATGGATGTACCACAACAAACCGTGTACAAATAGTCATGGTTCAGAATGCTGCAGAGAGTACATAGCACCAGGTGGACGCTATAGTTGGCACAGTAACTTGACTAATTTGAATAGAGAATATCCTAACACTGAAGTTGAATTAGTAAGCTTGTGCCACTGTCATTTTTAAGATCCATAGATTTTTTTTAAATTCATTTTTTGACATTGCCTTATTACTAGGTGGATGTTCCAGAGGAAGCCAACAAGAGAAAAATCTCATTTTCATCAGTCTGTATTAAGTGAGTTGGACGCACTTTATTAACCTCTCTATCTTAACATATGAAAATCAAGTAGGCAGTACAATGACATTGATTTCAGATTTACAGAGGCAGCAGGGTTAAATCATAATTAAACTTTAACAGAAAAAATGCACTTTTTGTTGTTGAATTTTCTCAAACTTGGAATATTTGAAGAAGGCAGGATCCATTTTCCTTCATATTTCATCAAACCCAAACTACTGTAAAAAGCTAAAGATGAAAGTTCACTCCGCAGGTTTAGGTACTGCTAGGACACATGGAATTCTTTTGAGGGATATTGTTATTAGCTACTTTTATGGCTTGATGGTTAGAGGCTGTGTATACCCAGAACCCCACCAGTACACTTGATTAGGCCTGAAAGTGGTATACAGAAGGCTTTAATACATCAATGTAATTGGTCTGAGTTGTAATACACCCCCCACCTCCTATATTTGGCCCTTCTTTACTCATGTTTAGTATAATAATAGATAACGTTTTTTATATTTGAAGACTTTTGTCCAAGTGAACAAAACAAAATTAAACACTAAACAAAAAAAATCAATGACTTAGCACTAGTTTCATAACATGGGAAGCGTGTGTGTAATATATATGTGTAGGTATATATGTGTGTGTATATATATAGGAGAACCCCAGGTAGCATTCACCCATATAATCCTAAAATATATAAAATGATATATGATATGTTATAATTACATGGGTTTCTCCTAATAAGCTCCGTTAAACACGTTTGAATATGGCCCCAACCCTGCAAAAATAGGCATGTTTCTTAACTTTACAACCAGGAGGGTACTCATGGAAGTAAAGTTGAGCACATCCATTTAAGTCTACAGCCCGTGGCCAAAGACCAGCATGGTACTTGAGGGTCTCTGAAAATTGGCTAAAGCCCTGCACACTTTTCCCCTCCGAGGCAGCTACAGGGGACAGCACAGCCTGGCACCGGGCTGCCAGGGGCTGCAGCTGCACCACTTACCCTGGGGTGTGCTTCCTGCGGGGAAAGCTGGAGAGGCTTGGTGATTTTTTTTCTGGAGGGAAGAAATTGCTTGCTAGTGGGATTTCACAATGCCTTAACTATCAAACAGCCTAAAAAAAAATTTGATTGCAGCCATTTCCAATTTTACCCCCCACTGGAGATGGACTACATTACTGTCCAACTAAAAAAAATATTTTTAAAAGTCTGTCAGTCAGGTTTCACACAGCTGTAGTTGGAGAAAAGCGTTACTTGAATGTTTTTTAATTATTTTTGTCTTTGAAATACTTTAGTGAACCAGATTTCAGCTATGCAAACCTAATGAGATGGAAAAGTCCCTCTGCATCACCATTCTACCCCCTTGCTCATTTGGAGGTGTGGTATGAATAATGTAGCTGGTCTCAAGGGTTCGTACACACATACTAAGCTGACTTAAAATAAAGCAACTTAACTAAACCGACTTAAGCCATGTCGGAGTATACACACAATCAGCTCCTTGATACAGTGGCAGTCATCTTGTGAGCTAAGTCAACTTAACTAATGTAACTCAAGATAATACACTTTGGAGGTGCATTATCTTGTGCTGCATTTAAGCCGACTCTACTCCACATACACGTGTATGCTCTGACAGTTAAGTTGGCTTAAAAAAAGTTAAACTGTCAGAAAGTTAGTACATGAGTACGCACCCAAGGATTGTTCAGACCCTTTTAAGGGCAGCATTTGTTTATTGTGGTCTGCCTCACTGCAAACATTTGGTACTCATTTTCAAAAATTTTGGCAAAATCCTATGTAACATGTTCTTAGTGCTTAATCAGGAAGTGTGGTGCAATATGCAAAATACTAAAGTAAATATGTACAAAAAACTATCTGTATTTGTGCAGGGGGCCAAGGTGTATTGCACGATTTGAATATATTGGAGATCAAAAAGATGAGCTAAGTTTTGTGGAAGGTGAAATAATAATTCTTAAAGAATATGTAAATGAAGAATGGGCCAAAGGAGAGCTGAAAGGTGCATCTGGAATCTTCCCTTTGAACTTTGTGGAAATTATTGAAGACCTGCCTGGATTAGGTACAAGTATATCAGTAGTCTGTAAGTGTAAACAGGTATACCATTTAGTAGTGCTTGCAATCGCTATGATTTCCTACATCAGACATTAAGAAATTAGAACTTGAAAAAAGTGAGGGAAGAACTTGGAGATGAGGTGAAAAGTGAAACAGGACAAAACACAAGAACTGGAAAATTACGTTTGATGCTTTTGAAGGGAATCAGTGCTAGGGTAGTAAAACTTCTGAAAATGCTGTTCTTCAGCAGCACATCTTTCACAGACACCCGGTGCATCCATCTTGCATGCCATTCTGAATGTTCAAATGTTCCACTATTTCAGCTGTTTCATATTTATTATGTAGGTGTGGGAGGACCAGTGAAGAGGGAGAATTCTGCTTCTCTTTCTCAGGTAGGCTATTGTAATTGGATAGACTACGCAAAATTTGTATGAGGCTTGATCCCCTAATGATGCACAGTGAGATTAAGCTGCATAACTCTTATTGAACATTCTGTGGGTGTTAACTGATTTCTTCTTGGTGCATTCTGTGGAATAATTACTTAAGAAACATAAGTTACTATTAATCAAAATTGATGAGATTTATTAGCAGTCAGCAAATAGTTTTTCACTTTCCTCCTTCTACTTAGGCAACTTCTTTTGTTCAGTCTGTTTTGATTTGTTGAGCTGCTCCCGTCTCATTTAGCCATCATTAAATTTACACTGACAAACAGGCAATTTCTCTTGCTGCTCCTATCCCCTGCTCCTGATCACATTTAAGCAGAGGGAGGAATCTGAGGGCATGCGCAATCTGAATAAAGATTAACCCCACACAAATTGGGGAGGAAGTTCTGTTTCTATGATAATCACTTAAATGCTTTTCTATACTACAGCTGCAAATATTAAGGTTGTATTTTATAGCTGTTGATATGGGCATCAAAGTAATTGGGGGCCGGGCAGGTCTGACTTCTGTGCTTAAGGGCTGTGGGCTGAATTATATCCCTCTGAAGCAGCAGTTTCTCAAGCCATGGGTCATGACCCAAAAATGGAGTGTAAGAATATATGAAAGGGTTGCAAACAAGCTTTAAAAATGGATTCTCCTTTAAAGGAAAAAAATGTAGGAAACTGTGGCTTTTCCCTTGCAGGCTGGAAGAGCTCCAACCTGCGAGGGACTGCTTGGGGCTCCTCCACGCCCCTCCCCACACACAGGGGGGAGAAGGGACTGGGGCCTGGGTGTGGGAGGCAGCAGGTTGGGACTGGCCACTGATGTTTACAAATATGTCCTGGTACAAAAAAGAACCACTGCTCTAAAGTACAGTGGATGCCTACTGCTTTCATTATTAGGTCTTCAGGGACATAAAGAGAAATAGGGGCTTTTGGTATAACTAAATATTTAGGTGTTGCCGAGCAAGTGCACTACTGTGACATTCTTCATAGAGTGGAAGCCTGTTCCTTTTTTGGACCTCTACTGTTCTTGTCTTTTGTAACTCCTTCCCCCCACCCTTTTTTCTCTCCCTCTTTGCTGTTGCAGTCTCTTCTATTCTTTCCTCTATTTCTCCCAGTGGATCAATTCACAGCTGTCCCTTCCTACAGTTATCCCCTAAAATAATCGGTGATCAGCTAGTTAGATAACTTATTCTTTAAATAAAGACTTAGTTTTTTAGATTCTGGCTATGACATACATGCCACAGAAATGGATCCTGCAGACTGGTTGACACATCTTAGTGAAAAAAAAAAAAGTAGAGGTGAGGTAGGGAATGAGGTCTAATTCAGTTGAATCAGTGCTTATGTGGCTTGGTGAACCATGCTATCTGTTCAGCAAAACCTCTAAAAACAGGGAGCCCTTACAAAAGCAAAACACTCAAGCTCCGTTCCAAACGTGCTTGATAAGCTTTTAAAGAAAAATGCCGGGAAAAGAAGCTTGTGTGGTTAAATTGAATCTGTGGATTCATATTGTATTCTTTGTTCTTTACTAGCCAAGATTATTTTACACCCCACCCTGCTCCAAACAATTAACCCTAATCTAGTGCATGGTAAAACAAGTAAATAAGCATGTAAACAAAAAACCCCCACTGATTATAGACAATATTCATGTGGGTTACCTTCCTCCTCACCCCAAGCCCATGTTCTAAAATGAACTTCATGTTTGCTGCTACCAAGTCTCACAATTATGTTTTCCTTGCTAGAATAACAGACGATCTGGAGAGTGGTGTGAAGCACTTCATGATTTCACAGCAGAAACTGATGAGGACCTACCCTTTAAAAAGGGAGATTGTATCCGGATAATAGAGCGCCTAGATTCTCAGTGGTACAGAGGGAGACTCAATGAAAGGGAAGGGATTTTCCCAGCAGTTTTTGTTCAGAACTGTTCAGGTATGCTACTTGAATTGGAAAATTCTGATCGTTTCATAGCTCAGTTCTAGGGCGATAGACAAGTGTAAAAGTAGACTTGTATAGAAAGAGAAATGAGTAGAAACAATAAATAAACCTTATTCACAGAACAACGGTTATCCGGGTATAGTATTCTGCACGGTTACATTGTGTGTTATAGTCACTCACCATTGACCAAAATGGTCAAGCTAAATCTTGAACCAGATAACTGCACAGAAGTAGTAATCACTGAGCTGAAGAGACACACTTAGGGAGGCGAATTTTGCTCCAGTTTACTTCACAATTGAAGCTAATTTTTATCACCTGGAAAACATTTCATGCTCAATTAATTCTTACGTTGTTTAAGTGTTACCCACATAGCAAAATAATATTTGAACCTGTGAGCAAAGCCAGGTTATATCTGGCATGAAAAGTAATAACTCTTTTTAAATTAAATTCTCTTACACCTGTGCTCTAGGAGCTTTCACTGGGGCTTCGCAGGTGTCAGGTCTTCAGCTGCTGTGAATCAGCATAGCTACACTGAGGACTTAGCCACCATTCAATTCAACTATCCCCAAATTAAGGGCCACACACAGTGTGTGAAGTAGGAGCCAGAAAATAATCCAGTGCACTCTCCCAAATGGTGCTGGTTTCACATGACTAACACTAACAGAGTAGTAATGCCTTCCCTTCAGAGAAGTAAAATAAATACAGTTTTGCTTACATAGCTTTTAATATGTCATTTTGATATAGATTCATAGATGCTAAGGCCAGAAGGGACCTCAATAGATCATCGAGTCCGACCCCCTGCATAGGCAGGAAAGAGAGCTGGGTCTAGATGACCCCAGCTAGATGCCTATCTAACCTCCTCTTGAAGACCCCCAGGGTAAGGGAGAGCACCACCTCCCTTGGGAGCCCATTCCAGACAGTCAACTGTGTCAACTATGATAGTCAACTATGGACTGACTAAACCGTTTAATTTGTGTTTTATTTTAAAGATGAGGCAAATCCTAGAAAACACTGCTGAGGATGCACACTCAGGCTATTACTGCTCACTCCATTTTTGTGTACACTGCAGTTTTGAGCTCTTCCTATCTGGAGGCTAAGTAAAGTCCAATGTCCTGTAGAACCCCACTTAGTCAAGTGTGTTTGGTATGTTAGCAATATGGCCGGCTCTAAACTCAGTCTTTGTTGTTACTTCCCACCTGGGACCCGCCTGGTCGGTGATCGGCTGCTGGTGCCCCCCCAGAATCAGGAGGCACCAGTCGCCCATGGTGTCCATCAAACTAGAATGTGATAGACAGATGCAGGGTCTAAGCTCCACGGTTGACAGCCCAAAGGTTACAAGTTCAAGGCCATAGCAGAAGTGCTGACAATGCAGCCCTGTCAGATTCCAACAATTCTGCTAATACCTCATCACACAAGAATATGAAAAAGGAAAGGAAAACAGTTAATCCCAACATCTAGACATAGCTAATAATTAGGTGTTTTCTGATACTTGCAAGTTGAGAGAGAGGGAGGATGCAACAAGCACTGAAAAAGTTGGGGGGGAAGGGGGTTGTCCTAAGATTTCTTTCAAAATGTGCATTTTAACCAAATATTTTCAAGTAACTTGTCCATTGTTCATGTTCTAGGAGGAGTAAAGTCATCACAGTCTGTAGGATGGAAGAAAGGAAAAGCTAAAACTTTGTATGACTTCCATGGAGAAAATGAGGATGAGCTTTCCTTTAAGGTAAGCTTTCATTAGAGCTGTTTGAGTTAAAGGATAGAAGGTCAGCCTTGTTCTTGAGATTAAGTAGCGCACATGCATGAAGATACTAAGTTTGGTCTTATCTACCTGAGAAACAGGACTGGAATGAGAAGGACCAGAACTAGGAAAGGCAAACTTTTACCCCAACCCAAAAGTTAACCACAAATCTGGGACTTGGAGTAGGAAGGTAATAAGTACACACAAATGGCATAAAGCCTGTTTTTCAGGCTTCCCTGTGCCATGGTAAACATTGAAGAAAGTTATCAGCAGCCTCTCTAGGGACTTGTGCTGTACTGTCACTATGACAATAGCAGATGAGTTGGTACAGAAACTATTACCATGAGCCTGAACCACAGCAGGATCCTTTGGCATGGCTGGTTCTGATGATTTGTGTCAGTTGCATGTTGCAGAAGTCCCTGCTGTACCATAGGGTCTGGTCCTTTGAGTTACAGTAGAGTAAGTGCCAAAATAAGATGGCAGTTCAGAGGAACTTTGGGGTAAATGCAAAAGCTAGCTACAGCACCTAAGCCAGGAAGGTTGAAGTTCAAGGGCACTCCAGACGAGTGCGGACATGCGGTATGTGGTGCTGCAGACCCATCTGCGGTGCTGCAAACTGCACATGCCACACATGTAGGTGTTCACCATGCTGCTAATTTGCAGCGTGGCATGTTTTTTTTGACACTGGGAGATCCCAGTGTCAAAAAAACCCGCACCTGAAAAAAAGCAGAGTGGTGTGTGTGGCAGCAGCATGCGCCGCCCAAAACTGGAGCCAGCCTGGCTGGCTGGCCAGAGCCAGGCTCCACACACCAGATCACCACCGCTGGAGCCATGGGAAGCCCCCAGAACCCCTGGTAAGGCTGCTGAGGCCAACCCTGGTGCTGGCCCCAGCCTCCCCTATCCCACCCTGGGGCAACTTGCCAAGCACCAGAGTGCGTGTTCATGAGCATTCCCCAGGAACAAGAAGCAGCAGCACAACTGTTTGCCACTGCTGCTGTTTATCTCTGGGGAAACACACATGTACACTTGTCTGGACGTGCCCCTAGAGTCCAAAATTGCAGTCCAAGGAACTTCTGCTCAGCACCTGAGTTTAGGAGGTACTTGAACTCAGTAGAAGGTCCCTCCAGTTAGTAGTTCCTACATGGACTGCTCTAAGGCAGCTTGCTGCTCTGTGTTCAGGTCTGTTTGGATCATCCTTTTGCAGTGCCTAACTCTGGTTTTGTATTGCACTCTGGGGACTAGGCACTTTAGTCTTTATTGGACTCTCTTGCAAACAGACAGAGTTCTTGGCTGGAGCTGTGGACCCTGGAAGCCAATTTGTAGGACTTTCAAACTCCCAGGTCCACAGCTGGAAAGCTAAAAGCCCTGAGGTTTTCAGGTTCCTAGCTCCACATGAAAGAATGTGAAGCATAGCTGACTTCACCTTAGCCCAGGTTCTCAGCTTCTACAGTCTCTGCCATGGAGCAGAGCTTCAGCTAGGACCAGAATCTCCAAGCTTCAGCTTTGTGGCAGGGAACCTGAAGTCCTAACAAGACAGTCCACAGGGTATGCTTGAAATACAGCCCTTAGCAACCGAGTCTAAGGCCCTAGAGGTTATTTTGCTGAAAATTAATCAGTGGTTTCAAGACACTGACAATGTGATAAAATCTTGTTATAAAATATGCATTAAAAGAGGAGCTCCTCAGATGTCTGAGAAGGGCTATATTACAATACGACCCATTACTGTGTGACATAAATCATGAAAGGATGTCACTTATTCAAACTGGGATTTGTTCCTGCATGTATACTGATTTACTGGGATGCTTTTCAGAAAATTCCAAAATAAATTGGAATAAATATTAGCACCTCTTTCTAAAAAGTTATTCAGACATTTTATCAACCATAAATCTGACAAACTGAAGTATGGTTACAAGTATGAAAGGGGAAGGGGAGGAAGGAATATAGAAAGTCCAGCTCTTTGACTTGTCCAGCTGTTTAACAAGTTCATCCTGTTTTCTTGTTGTACTTCTCAAAACTGATGCATTCATTATGCATTCATTTTTGGTTTTGTGAGCAATTATTGAACTGATCAAATTAGGGGACAGTACAACTGGCTCAACTCAGACTAGGAAATGGACAAGATGAAATACAGGTAGATAATAATAGTATCAGCAACTAGATACTGTGGATCTTTAAAAATGCAGACAGTAGACAGTTTTGGATCCCTAAGAAATTTTGACAGCACAGCATGTAGTTGTCACAGAAAAATCAAATGATGTACTGCTTCCTTGGTAATCTAGCAGCTCAATTTGAAGGTGGAGGCAAACAGCAGTGGTCTGCTTTGTAGTAGAATTAGTGAACTAGGTTTTAGAGGACTTCAAAACTTAAGCTTCCAAGAACCAGTGGACATCCAAAGTAAGACTATGGTAATCTCAAAGGTACTCTCTTTACTATTTCTAAAACTAACAGCTAAAGCAGAATTCATTTAAGAAGTATACTTTTGATCTTGTGAGATTAAAGCAGAAGAGTATAAAGAGAAACAAAAATGGAATCTGTATACTCGAAGAAAGGACAGAGTTATGGGAGAATATTTTAAATAAAGGATAGGGCACACAGTGAGATGAAAATGTGAACAAGGAATAGTAGATTCAGTGTTATTTTCTCCTTCAAACAGCCAACTACTTATAGACTTGTGCGCCCTACTTTGTCATAGCATGAGAAGAATCTCAAAGAGTGCACATCAGGGCCGGACATAGGAATAGCCACACTACTGGTTTGTGACCAAGATCCAAAGAAGAGATTCCACTTACTAGAGGAAAAACTTTAACAGAGAATATGTTTGAATATCCCAAGATGCCAAAAAAAGCTGGTTGGAGTATGTGCCAATATGGGCTTTGAGCTAGATATACCTCAGGACTCCAGGCCCTGCAATTAAAGTAAGAAAATGGCAGGCAGTCGAACTAGGGAAAACTGCCGTATGAAAAGTGAAGTATTTGCAAGCATGAAAAAGTAAGCCAAGTCTTTTACTACATTTAATCTTAAAATAAAAGCTAGTTACAAGGGTATACAGATTTTTCTGTTTCTATATTTATAAATCATGTTTTATTAAAAGAAAAAAGGTACCTACCAGGAACTCAAGATGCATTGTACATGAAGAGAGTGCTCAGTGCTTCTGCAAATAATCATTTCGATTCATGTTGTGCTCTCTTGCTCTCTCTCTGATAGGCAGGTGATGTGATAACAGAGCTGGAATCTGTAGATGAAGACTGGATGAGTGGAGAAATAAAAGGAAAACGTGGAATATTTCCCAAGAATTTTGTGCAAGTTCTGTAAAATCATGAGGCTGGAACCCAGCTTGCTTCTGTATGTAGAGGCAGCAGATGTTCATCTAGCTAGCACAAAGGCACATGATACTTCAGAGTTAATACCACTGAAGTTATCTGATTTAATACTGTGACTGTCAAATACTGTTTTGCACTATCTTTCTAGAAAGAGAAATATACAGTGTCACATTATAGATCAGAGTTTCCTGAAAGCAAAAGTATTAGGAAAGACTAACAGTTTACCATCATGACACAGTTTACTTAATTGTACTTGGCAAATGCTCGAAGAGAATGGATAAAGCAGTTTGCCTCAGCTAGGGCACTAATATGGTACAGTAACTGGTAGTTGCCTGAATTGGTATTAATTTATCTTGCATATAAACTGCATACATTAATCTTATTTTATAATCTGTATAAATTAGGCTTTTTATTAAAGATATGTTCTTGCAGATTTAACTATTATTACACATTCAGTATGTATAACAGTCTTAATATTAAGATTTCACTTACAGCTTCAATTCATATCCTCTGCAGCAGCAGCAGTGGAAACCACTTGTTTTTACAATTGAGAGGATAGAAAAGATAGTTATTATCCCATAGCAAAGAAGTATCAAAGACTTATTTATCCTATATGCTGTCTGTAGAGAGGTTGCCTTTCTGTGTATAGGATGTTCTGTTCTTAAACCCAACCCCTAAATAAGCAGAAGCGGTAAGAGATCAAGAAATTTTTGGTTATTTATTAGTTCCTTTCTTCTTGAAACTAGGGACCTAAACATTCAGTTTTGATTTTTTTTGGGGGGGGGGTTAATAAAACTAGTGCAAGTCTCTCATTTTATTCACAGAAAGTTTGAAGATTGTTCTTTTTTACTCACTCCCAATTCTTCCATGTATTGTTCACTTTGTCCAATTTATGCTCCATTTTCAGCTTCTCAAGTAGAAATACAAACATGATGCCAACTATATTTCAGCTGAACATTCAAACTCTGCACTGCTTGAAATTGGCAAATAAATCCACCCATTCCTACTGAACCACCAAAACAGATCTCTGAACTAAATTGCAAGAAAGCTGAAAAACATCAAGCTGCCATTCTTCTTTACTTGTACATGCTTCATTTTAATAGGAGTACTACACAGCCCTTTAATTGAGGGAGAATAACTTATTGATATAACCACTACAAGTTCTCTTTAAATCATCTAAGTAAGGTGTAAGGTATAAGGTAGAGTATATTGTACATCTCCATTATAAATTATCTGTCAAGACTTACAGAAAGTAGAAGATACCAAGACAAATTAATCCAACAGGCTGAAGAAAGATAACTTACTAACAGGAAGAGTGCTAATTGTAGCAGTCGAATTACATTAGCTAAAATCAGGCAAGATTACACATAGGTACAGGCAACTTTTCCATTCAAAGAACCATCTAGAGATGTAAACTCTTTCTAGAACATTTCACTTTGGTTAGTTCTGGGTTAATATAAAACAAGTCTTCAAACAAATTGTTTTACATGCTTCCTGTTTTGAACTGTTGTTTCCTGCAAGAAAAAAAATCTTTTAATCTTAATTATGCTGCAGTCCAATCTGTACCATGTTCAGTAGCACCCTGGTTCCACAAGAGGAATTTTCCCTCCTTTGTACAATATAAAGAACAAGGAAACAAGGCAAATTGAGTTAGTCCATCAAGGCATACAAATTAATAGGTCATACCTCGAATGAGGTTACTAATAAAGAAAATAATCTTTTCATTATGTTTCTCAGGTAATAAAGAAAAGCACAGGTTGAGACAGGAAGCAAATAGGCAAGGGATTCAGCACTGATGGTTGGAGAATTCAGAGGACTTTTACTATGAGTTTTAGATCTTAATTTATTTTTGAAGTCTGAATTATCACCCTGGTGACATGCTCACTTGTCATCTCAAGTTGCTTTGGCGTAGCCATAAAGGAGTGCTGAGATACTATAACAATGGACATGATCTGCAAATCACAGTTGAATCTAATAGAATGAAGCACTGAAAATACTTGCCTGTAAGATCTCTAGGTGTTTTGTGAAAAAAGAACTATACGACAATGACCAGCATTGCCCATCTTATAAATTCAAGAAGCTGAATTCACAGTGGATCAGTAGATGAGCTGAGAATTGAGTCTAGATCTTTTGTCTCTGTCCTCTGCTTATATATAGATTATGTTAAAATGAAACAGACATTTAACAACCCAAGAAGGTCAGTCATATATCATCTCAGACAAGAGAGACAGACACGAACAACACGCATAAGCTGAGGAATTGGTACACTGATAACCCAGCTCAGAACTCTTTGTTGTATTAATTGCATATGTAACTACCACCTTTATGTACACTTACTTAGATGTAAAAATGACCATTTTCATGCCCAGTAGTGGTTATTTGTACCTAAAGCCTTGAATGGGATGTCTTAAGTTAAATTTGCCAAGAGCATATCATGGAGTGAATCAGGCAGTCCCCTTAAAAGGAGAGAACATGGTTTTAAATCTGACAGCACAGAATTAAAATGTAATTCCTTTTAAAAATTAGCGACCATTATATTCAACTGGAACACATTCTTTCCTTAAAGGGTCATCTCATCTTCTTGTGGGGTGGGGGGGAAGCAATGACAAAAAGTTGTCTTCATTACAGTGCAGCTCCTGCATCAAAGGTTTAAGCAAAATGAACACCTTTCACTGTGGCTTTTTGTGCCAACTGCAATTAAGAAGCCTCCTATAAAAGTGACAAATTATAGAAATTAACTTGGTACAAAGATACAATTTAATTCTTCCAAAACAGTGGCTGAATCATTGTGGAGGCAGATGGATTTCAGGTGTGCAATGTTTACTTATTTATTGACTGCTGCTTTTCTAAAGTTTTGATACAAAGATTTTAAGCAAATATTGACTTTATAATTACACATAAAAGGAGGACAGGGGAGGTGTTTTTCCTATTTTGGCTTTGTTGTTAATGATTAATACATTTTTTCCTACCATTTTCTAATTAGATTTAAATATAACATCTCTTACATTTCATATGTATGTCTAAGCAAGCCTGATAGTTTATTTTGTAACTTTGAATAGAAAATGTGGAAATTTATAGCAAGCTTCATATAACACCGTGAATATCTAAGTTGTGAAAAGATGATAAAAACTGCTGGAAGCTGCAAATTCAGAACAACAGCACCATCTAAGGGCTCTTTACATTATTGTAGCTTTGTAGATTGGTCTTAAAACTTGAAGAAATTCCTTTATCTTTGCTGTTTAAATTAAATAAATATATACTGATCTGTTTTGCAAAAAACATTCTACTTTACGTTGTTAGACTTAACCTCTGTGACCACAGAACTTTGTACAGAGAATAATCTGAAATGCCTATTGAATGCAAGATATGATTCAATGGAATACAGGAAGTTCCTGAACAAATCCCAAATACATTAAGAGATTATACTGTCTTGAAAGTGAAATACGGACTGAGTCCTTAAATATACTACAGTGGTTTTCATAATCTCTAGGTTTTTAGCATTTTTGTTAAACTGCCAACTTTGAAAATGATTATCTTCCTAAACAGAAGAGCTTTTTTCATCAAATTTTTTATACAATGAGTAGAGTATAAAATAAGCCTTTTTAAATTCTCTAAATCCATGAAATGTCTTCAGCATTATGGTACCAGTATGAATTTGTATTTAACCAATAAATGTTTATATTTATGTCTGGGTTGCAATTGCTTGTGTTTACATTTATAACATAGCAATTATGATTAAATGCGAGGATTGGTTAAACATCCTTAAATACAGAGAACCAAATTCATTTAACAGTTTGTAATAATAAACTATTGTTTTGTCCAATTCTAGACCTCATCTACACCAATTTTTTTTATCAGCATCATTTCAATTAGTGAGATTTTCCTTTTTACAGAAACAAAGATGCCACTATAAAGATGCCTTATAGCAGGACAGAAGGAAATTACATTACTAGGAGTAGTTGTTTTATATTACTATAATTGCAGCCACAGCAGGGGGCTACATGCTAATATAGTTAATGAAGTATGCATGTGTAACTGTGCTTAGTGTCTGTACAACACATGGGCTAAAAAAGAGACAGTACAAATATGACTATAAAATAGACATCCTAGCTTTCTTGTTCTTGCTGGTTCAGTGCATATTTCATTACCTCACACCCTTTCAAACAAGGAGGAATGAGTGCCTCACCTGAAAACACCCTGTTGATGGTTATGGCACTCTCCTGAGAAGTGGGTTCAGCTCTTACGCGAAGAATGTAACATGGTCTTCAGTCTGAAGGACTGCTCCAGATGCTGAACTGTTGGCCAAAATGGTGATAACATCTTACTCCTGTTTTGAAATACTGGCACCTAAACCTACAAGATTCTCTGCTACAAAGACTCAGTGGAGAAGCACCTCTGTGCAGCTCCAACCAAGGAGACCGACTCCTAGAAAAGGGCAGGATTGACAGCCCTATCTGTTTATGATGAGTTGCCATTTGTAGCCTTTCAGCAGGCTGGTTCATGGATCTCTCAGGTGCCTAAGGCAGATCTCAAAAGGGTCATGAGCACTGGTGGCTTTAACAATTAAGCTTGAAATGTATCAATCCAGGAACTGCTGCAATTACCTACCTGCTCAGACTGCTGGTTGTCCCTGGTTTACACAATACATGAAGCATGTTTTACAATGCTGACAATGTCCATTGGCAGGAAGCAGCAGCCAGTTGTCTCCATCTAGTGTTTATAGTTTAGACTCACCTGCCCTCCTTTCAAGACATTTGAAAATGCATCTACTTAGGATTACAAATCAACCAGCAGAATTCACTCAAATCATTTATGCCCCTTGTTGAGTGGTTTCTCAATGGAAACTTTCTGCACATAGGAGAGAGCCGAGCAATATGGTTGAGCAGAGATAAGTTATTTCCTTTTAGGCCCATTTTGCTCCATTCCCATTTTAAAACATATGGTTCACACACACCCTCAGGTAGTAATTTGATACTAGGACAATCTCAACAGGGATCTGATAAAATAAATACCCGAGATTTATTTTGCTGGGTATAGCTGGTATAGTAATTTGATCCTCTTTTTGTGTGTTCAAATTATGATACTAATTGTATGCTCCAGCAGTCCAGAACCAGCAAACCCTCTTTCCAAAATAAAGCTATAACTGGGGAATTAGATATTAAGTAACTAACAATGGCTCCAACTGCTAGGCTAAGAAAAATGTTTCCCCTCCTGATTGTGTTTGCAAGACAGAAGCATGAACTCTAAGCTGTTCATTCAAAGATTTGGAAACACCTCTTCGTGAGAAGAGCTGGGGAATCCGATTGGGCAGTTGACCTGTAGATCTCACGAGATGTTAATTTGGGCTGATGATTGTCTAGATTTTGATAAGGTAAAATTATTTCGCCTCCCCTTTTTCACCCTTGACACACAGCAGGGCAACTTTTTTTTTTTTTTTTTTTATTGTGGACTGCGGTGTGAAATGTATTGAAGTAGACAGCCATTAGGATTTTTTGGGTAAATGATTCCAGGGGATTGGACTTAAAGGGTCCTAGCTGTGCCTTTCAGGCCTATGCTGCAAAAATCCTGTTAGGCGTACTTGAAACCAATGATAACACCCCAACTGATAGACAAAAAGATACAGGTTCATCCTGGCTTCATTTTGAACACAAAAATCCATTTTTATAGTTGACACAATATACTGGGGAGTTAACAGTAATCCCTCTCAAAATCCTGCATAGCTTGAGGAAAATCAAGAAAAGCAAGTTCAACACAACCATAACTATGCAGCTCTTACAAGTATAGAGAAGCATGGGAGCTACACAGATGCCGGGGAGACAGGTCAAATCAATGCGATTCCATTTCTGGTTAAAGTGCATTTTTCCCCCCTTCATGTGTCAGCATTCCAAATTTTGAAGCAACTTCAACTTTCTATGCTCTCGCATAAAACAAAGAGAAGACTGCTGTCCTGTCATACATCAGGCTATCTATCAGTGGGTAGCCTCAAATTTGTACAGGGGAGCATATTGATCCAGCTTCCTTCCTCTTCGAAACAAAATAATCCTTAGGCAACAAATACCACTACAATACACCAATACAACTGGTTTCAGAGAGTAGGCTGTTTCAATAGCATTGTATTCTTAATATGCTGTATGTACCAGCAACGTAACATTGGTAAGTGTGAGTTTGTTTTTTTTGGCTCTGTTAAAAGTTCACCTTCAAATGTAAGAGATACTGTAACAATTAATTTTGGTCCAGCTTATTTGTGGAAGCTGATCTGATTATATTATAAAACAGCACACATGCTTAACTTCAACAGCATTAAGATGTTTGGACTCTATTCTTCCAGACAGAAGGAAGTTATTACCAAGCAGTGCTGTACACCTTTCTGTTTTTTGTGCCCCAGAAATCTAATTAGCACTGTTCCAAGCTCTGAAGAATGACTAGAGTGTTACACATACCTTCCATTAGAAGTTCCAAAACAGGAGCAGATAAATGAAAAACTGTTTCATTTCTGGAGTTTGGACAAGTTCGCTATTTTTGTTAAATCTTTAAAGCAGTGATTTTCAACCTTTTTTCATTTGTGGATCCCTTTGAATTGTTAGTGTGGGTATTCACATTCTTTTGAATTATACTAGTCATCTTTTGCAGACCCCTTAGACAATCTTGTGGACAAACCTTTGCTTCCACAATAAAATAACTGGCTTTAAAACCTCATTTCATCTATAGGCAGACACCAAAATTGCCTTGGGGAAAAGGCTGCTATCAAGTGAAAGGTTACAAATAGTAAGTTGAAGCAAACATGTGTAAGTCTTGGGCCCAGTTAAAAAAAAGGGATGAATTTCAGAAGTGTATCAAGCAGTTGTGTGCTCCAGACTAGCCCTCTTCCACTAAGAAAGCTACAGTTATGAAGCACAGGTCACATTCAGTCATTACCATGACAAAAGTACCACTACTCATGATGAAAAATACCCCACAGCCTGTGTAAACAGTTTCTAGTATTACCACACATAGATGCACTACTTCTGTACATTAATTTTTATTTTTGTATCCAACTTTGATTTTTAGACAGACTCTTGCACGGGGGGCTCATATCCGTCGGCTCGCTCTACTTTGGCGCCTGCCTCATCCCCAGAAGGCTTTCCAGCACCGCCACCTTCACCATGCAGTTCCATCAGCTTGCCCACTTAAAAGAAAAAAAGTAGTAATATTGCAATTAAGTATTAAGCAACATATACATTTAATAAAATTACAAGCGTTATGCTCGAATTGCTGACTTAATTCCATGTTATCTACAGAACAGTGAACTAATTAAAACACCAGAATATTAATGTACACCTAGTCTAAACACCTGTTGTAATGGCTTCCCATGGCCTTAAGCAGATACATTTGTAGCAAGAAATACACCCTTTTAGTGCGGTACAAAGGGACCATACACGCATTCAAGCAGGTTTCTGCATTAAAACATGGTAGTTCCACAAAGGCTTAACTCTTTAAATGATTCTTACTGCCCCAGGGAGGCGGAGCTGGGTTCACAGATCACTACAGAATTGCACTGCTTCCTGTTTCCTTGTCGGCAAGAGGAAGTCCTTTCTGCCCAAGGAACACAGGGTCTCCAAGGTGGATTCCTGCTCCTGCCTTGCCAAAAATACCCGTGTTCCTATTGTATTAATATCTCTGCCATTACCTAGCAAGCCAAGCTGGAGAAAGGGCACCAAGCAGGGGGCTTTTCCTGTGCAGTTTTGAACTGGGAACTTTTGAGAGGCAAATGTGATCAATGACAGATGATCTATGTGGGCACTTGCCCACACAATAAACTGAATGAGCTCAGAAGCAGCAGTGGCAGGCTCCGACTATGCTGGCAGGAGTACAGCACATGCCAGACCTGCCAACATTGGACTTTACATACTAATCTTTTCTGCGTTTGTTTCCCTGAACTCCTGTTTTTCCACAACTTCGCTAACTAGTTCCCTTAGTTAATCAAAATCTGTCCTTAGGAAATAAAGCTTAACTATAGACCTATTCTGTTTGTTCCTCCACTTATTTAAGAGGATCAACTAAGATTCACTTCACTAAAATTATTTCCAATGGGGTCTGGAATCTGGATCAGAAGCCACAGGTAGCAGAGGTCCACTGTAGTCTGGAAGTGAAACTGATTAGCCTTTTTGGCCATGGAAATGGAAGAGGTGCACTCCCAGCACACCTTGGGAGTGGTGGGCAGGATGACCCAGGAGGTATAGTTCCACAGGCAGCCATCATAAGCCCTTTCCTCTGCATTCAGCTGTCCTTGGAGAACCTCCACAGGCTTGAGGGGAAGCATGCTGGGGATCACTGCATACCATCCTCCTTGGCTGCAAAGCGCTAGCAGTACAGGGCCTTGCCATGCTATGCAGCACTCCAGACAAGATGCTCGAATGTCTATATGCCCTTACCACACTTCAAGAAATTTTTAGCATGGCAAATGAAAATCATCCATATCCCAGATGTATTCATGCAAAGGAGCTGCACTGGTTTTGTGAGTTTAGACCATTTAGTGCAATTCCATTTTTCTAATGGGTTCAAATAAACTGAGCCTAGTTGCAAAACCCAGCTACTTGCATTGCTCTTGTTGCATGAACACAACCAATAGCCTGTATTATATGGGAATGTCAGAAAATGGGAAAGTAATATCATTTGATATCATCTGGGACCGAAACATGTTGTCATCATTCATTCCCAAGACAAAACATTGTGTTTTTAGTTGTGTTCAAGTAAGAATTCTAACTATAGCAAAATAAAATTATCATTTATCTGACTTCATAGTTTGGACACTTCAGCAGTAAAGCTAAAGGAAAAGCTGTTTATTACCCCTAAGTAATTAAATATACAATGAAGCTTTCTGTGGACTACCCCCAGTTCAAAGAACACCAAACCTGGCATCTGTTAACACTACTTCAGGGTGTCCTACCTGTCACAACTCAATACATAGAGGTGTTAACTTACACTCAAACTTGGGCTTCTTCAGCATCTTGACTTTGCGGACATACACATCATGAAGAGGGTAAATGGACTGACAAGCCTTTTCTATATCTTTGCCAATGCTGTCTGGGATCCTGAAAAAGTTAAATAATATTTCAGTATTTGAGCTTCGGTACTGTGTGTTAGCAATACATGGTGTTACACCTAAAACAGAAATTCATTTAGACTAGTATTCAGCACACCAAAGCTCACCAACATCTTCATGATTTTATATTACAATCTATGTAGTTATTCATGGGCAGGATCTACATCTTTTCTGCCAAATGGTTTAAAAAGTAATACTATACAACCTACTCACCTTTAAAAAAGCTTCCAAAAACTATTTAGGAGTGCATTTACACACCTACTGCTAAGTCTGACAAAATTACTGGCATCTTCATATTTTGAAAGTTTTCAAGTCTGCCAAAAGATTTCTGTGTGGTAGTTTTTAAAATTCTGATTTTAGATTTATACCCAACAGTAAATTTCACTTGTAGCACAGACAGTACACATGTATGTGCAAGTATGTGTGCGCACGTGAGAAATGGTAATTAACAAGCTTTCTTTTGTGGGAAGGATAAAGAAGGGCAGGGGGAAGAAAAGAATGAGACATTCTTTAATTCTCAATTAAATATAAAGTAAAGTAAGTTGTTGAATCCACTGCCATCCTTCATTAAGTCATTTTACAGGGCAATAAATTATTGATTTAGTCACTTACATTTTTTTATTTCCAAAATCTCAAGCAATCATTTTTTCACCCTACCTGTCCACACAAATGCTTATAATAATCTTATAGGATTAGCACTTCTTAAAGTGTGAACCTCCTTCCTTTGAGACAATGCAAGTAACTTATGCAAACCCAATAAAGTATAGAATTGCAATTATTTCTCCCAGTTAAAAATTAAAAAGCAAAACATACAGCTTGTTGACAACTTCTTTCAGGTCATTAGTTTGCACCTCTCGAGTCATAATTTCCATCATCTTCTTGCGGATTTGGCGGACCTGCTGGTGCTGGGCATATGAGGTTTTACGGATCTGGTTGTTACGCTTCTTGGTAAAACCAACACAGAAAAGGCGCAGTAGGTAGCCATCGGTAGTTTTGACGTCAACATGGGCTTCAATCATTGTCTAAAGAAAGTTAAACGTGCAGCAATTCAACCTTTTGGTTAGCACCAAAGAAGCAGTCAGTTTCTCAGAACCTCCAGTGCAACATTCCTTAAATCAGTGATTCTCAACTAGGGCAAGATCCCTTCATGGGTGCCATGGTTTGGGCAGCAGCAGGCAGCTAAGAGCACCCTAGTGCCCTGTGCTTGCTGCACAACCTTCCCCACCTCCTCCTCCTGGAAACAGGCATGCAGAACAATTCAACCCAACCTGTACACCCGTTTCCAGGAGATGCTGAACAGGAAAAGGCTGCAGCACAAACCAGTGCTCCTAAAAGGGCTCTGACAGAACTCTACTGAGGCAGGAGCCCATGGATGCTGCAGCCCTTTCAGTCTGGCTGCACACAAGGCACAGGACCACTTTTATCTGGCAGCAGAGGCAGTTCTTGGTTGAGAACCACTGTGATAAATTGAGGCAGCACAACTATGGTTCTTAACTGGGGATACTGCCACATTCATAAAAGTTGGTAAAAGGTGCCCTGAGACTTGATAGGGGTTGAAAACCACTGCCTTAAACTAATACTCAAGATCTGTTAATCACCCTCCCCACAAATTTTTAAGTTTTACAATAACAAGCTCCAAAGCGATTAGAAATTCTACTCAAGTTTAATTAAAAGCACATTACTGTCACTTGCATTTCTTAACAGAAAACAATATTTGGAATGGTGTAAAGGCTATTATTCTATTAATGGAAAAAGTAAGGCTATAAAGGCTATTATTTTAGTATGATTTTTAGAGCAATGTGTTACTATGATAGTATCTGAAGTTGCAAAGGTACATCAGTGTTACTTACCTGCCACTTCTTGACCATGGAGCACATTTTGTCACGTGTTAAGTCCATTCCATGGAAGTTGGTCAGACAGTTTTTGCCCTGGACATCTTCAGTAATCAGCTTGAATTTACGGAAGGCAACTTCATCATTCTGCAGATCAGCAAGACTCACTTCAAATACACGCCCCTTAAGTCCATCAGAGGCAATTTCTATATACATATGAAATAACATCTTTTGTTAAGATTAAAAAGGAATAAGAAAAAAAACAGTTTTGAACCTTCATTTGACAGGCCTCCATTAGTAACTGCATTACGCATCAGCCTTTCTACAAGTTGCTTTTACACAGTCTGGTGAAAAGACAGAAAAACAGACAACTAAGACCTGAAATTAAAAAGCCCATGTTAAAAAAGTTTCTTGTACACTTACACCTTTGTGTGCAACATTGTTCCTTGATGGGGAATCCTTTCCTTCTAGCTTTCAGTTTCCTTGGGAACTAGTTCATTACTTAGTTTTCACATACGCAAGACATTTGAGCAAGAACTATGTGCTCCTTAAATGCTATTACTGCTATACTCATGATCAATAAATATATACTCCTTCATATTCCAACATTGCAGTATTGGCAGGATTCTTACTCTCCCAAGTGCTTAGCCAACTCGCACTTAATCCATCCTAATGTTTTGTGGCCGCTGTCCCAATTTCATTGTTCATATCTGGCAGAGGTGCCCTTAATAGAATGCAGTAATCTAGGTATGGCATCATTTTACAGGGGAGAACTGTTCAGCACTATCTGGGATCCCTTGAGATGCTCTTGACCAAAAGGCAGTTGTTGCTCCCACATTCCAATGAAAAACTTGCAGGTAATTGGCTAGTCAGGACCACAAGGTGTTTTGCAGTTCCTGTGTGTCCCCTCCCCCCAAATATTAGTATTATTTTTCCTCAAATCCATAC